CTTAGCTTATAACAATAGTAAAAAAAAACCTTGTTAAAATAAACCTATATAATTTGTAATTTTGAAAAAGTTAGTAGTAACTATTTTATTTGAACAAAATCACAATGTAGTTGATTTTTTTAAGTTTTTGTATTTTGTAATACTTTAAATTCAATAAACTTTTAATATAATAGCTTTGATTTTTGTTTTTTAAGAATTAAAGAATATTATTAGGTATTTGAGTTTAGTAAATAGATCTAGATATAGTGAATATAAATTTATTTTATTATTGTAATATGTTTGAATTTGTTATTTAATAGGTAAAGTTTTGAGCTTATAGATAATAGAATTTATTGTAATTTGAATAAGTATAGTTTAACTTTTTTAAAATATGTATAATAAATATTATTGATATATTTGATATATAATAAATATATATTTTGATTGATTAATACTCATGTATAAATTTAAATTTGATAATCTAAATAAAAAGGTCTAATTTTGCAAATTTGCTGATATATTTTTTGAAGATTTCTTAAGAACCATTAGACTAATATTAATGTTTTTACTATCATTAGATAAGTCTTAATAAGCTCTACAATTTTTATTATGAATTCAAGAATGATTTACTAAGTAAAAAAGTTTTAGATATAATATCTCCACATTTAACTTAATAGTAAAATTTATTTATAAAATTTGCAAATCCTCTTTAGGTGACAAATAAATTGTTTATTAAATAACTATTGCTTTAAATGAAATTCTATAAAAATTATTTTAATAAAGTTATAATAAACTATTATTTGAATAACTAAAATAAATAAAATATATTATAAATTAATAATACTATAAAATATATAATAATGATATAAAAAATGTAATAAAATTTAAAAGAATATAATAAAAATTGCTAATAAATTTGACTAATAAAAATCGACTAATAAAATATAATAATTTAAATAAATTTAATTAATAAAATTTGCTAATATAACACTATATATATTTTTTAATTCTATAAGTCTTTAAAATTAAAATAAAAAAAATTTCATTGAATTTGAATAGGTGGTTATTGAGAAATTTTTGCTTAAAGTTTAGAAAAAAATTTTTTTCTAATTTTTTTTAACTTCTAGCTAAGATTTCTCAAAAACCACTAAACCAAATTCAATAATTTTTTTTTATTTTGATTTTACAAAAATATAGGATTGAAATAAAAAAATTTTTACCAAATTTGATCAAGTAGTTATCGAGAAACCTTCGCTAGAAGTTTGGAAAATCTTAAAAAATTTTGGATGATTGCTAAATTTTGATTGGTCATGCGAAATTTTTTAGGTTAGTAACGCTAGGACAGTTATTTTTTGTGGGAGTCTTGCATAATGTTGGTCAAATATATCTCGGCTTAAAAGTCCGTGTGAAGTCGACTCAAGAACCGGTCCGACAAGCTTTTTAACAGCCCTATACATACGTACGTACGTATGTACTTTTCACATTATATAAAATTCGGATAGCTGATAGTGATATCTATACGTCACTTCTACGCTACTGCTATGTTTGAACTTCAATGTCTGCGGCCTTACTCGGAATGGGCCGGTTCGCGAGCTTTTTTGAAAATCTTTTGGAAGCTAATCTCAAAATAATAGCCACATATAATTTTTTATGTGACTTACGTAACACTTTGCCCCAGATTAACGTTAATAAAAAAAAAAGCCAGTTGGCTGATCCATTCCGGACTAGGGTTGTGTTACGAAAATTATTAAACGGTTTTGCAGGAAAATTTTCCTGGATCAGCTTACGGTTTAAGGGATATACATTTCATGTAATTTTGCGTAAGTGTAAATTTCACACTTAGCATTATTGAAAACTGAAATAGACTGCATAAAGTTCTGATCAAATCAATGCAATGTGATCCATTCTAGTGTAACAAATCGGCAAAGTTTTTTCAATCAATTAGTTGGTTAATTATTTTTCCAGTAATCGATTAATCGACAAATTGCAACTAATCGATTAATCGATAAGTTACAACTAATCGATTAATCAATAAGTTACAACTAATCGATTAATCGAATGATCGATTAATTCATTAAATAAATAATTTTTCAATCGATTCATTTGCAACAATCGATTAATTCTTTAGTCGATTAATTGCAACTAATCGATTAAGTGATTAATTAATCCCCGATCACTATATCAAGATCATAATTAATAATACCCTGACCAACAGGAGCAACCGTTCAAATTCGTAGATGATTCCGATATGGTTACACAATTGATAAATAATTTTTTTTATACATTTTACAATACTTCTTTTAAAAGCTCGGGTATCTTAATTTCTGTGAAATGAGAGCAAATTTAACGTATGAATTAATTTTTTTGCTTCGCTCTATAACATATTCTTTGAATCCCCGTGAATCCCACAACTTTTTTTTTGTAACATGGTTGACCGATTTGCTAAAACTTGAGATATGATTGGTTGACAATCACGTGTAATTGTATAGGAATCATCTACGAATTTGAACGGTCCCAAAAAATTCAATCGATTAGTTGTCAAAATAACTAATTGATTTTTTCAACTTTCGATTTGTAATACAAATCCGGTCAACCGCATGGAATCATATGATTAAGTGATCATGTTTCTTACAAATTACATGAAATCAAGTTTACATAAAAATTGCGCAAAATTACGCCTTATTCCGGACCTACTTTGGTATCACATATTACATTAGATGGGATTATGACCTAGTCATAAATCATTACTTTATGACCTATAACTGGGCATAATAGGTCATATGACAACTATTGATTCCGATTGGTTAATAAAAATCAATTTTATATCAACACAATAACTGATAATATTTAATTAATTAATAATCTTTATCGTTATCTTTTATAATAATAATAATACCTTGCTCACCTTTCACATTGATTTTTATTCTTTTCAAATGCTCTAACTTAATGATTTCATATTAAATATTACAGTATTAATCCAAACGATTGATTGTCTATTATAAGCAATTTCGTAAAGAAATTATGTTACACTGATTTCGATAAAAATAAACACCAATAACAAAAAGGTTACCTCATGCTCTTTCATTAAAAGACTAAGTATTTTATAAATTTTGTTCAAGACAGATAAGATGCATTAAGCCAATCAAATCAATTATGAATTATGCTAATGATTTTTTCTAATTTATATAGCGATAGGTGAAAATGTACGTACTGTACGTAGGTACGAATGAAAATTAAAATTAAAGAATCACAAACATTATATAGTTATATTATGTATATTATGTAAAGACAAAACGCATTGCTAAGCCACGTTTCTAAGTTATATTTAAGAAGTTTCAGAATTACATTGAAACATAATTATAGTAATAAACGTGAAAACTTTGAGTTAATATTGTTAATCACGTGTTAGAAACAAGGTTAACACAACGAAATTAAAATATCAAGGATCGACTGAAACACACAACATTTTCCTTAAATGTTATATATACACGCTTTGTGCAGAAATTGCAAAGTGTGAAAAAGAAAGAAAATGGAAGTAGTTTCATGAGAATAGGCTAGACTAAGAATAGACTGTAAATAGACTGTAACGTGAATTAATCATATTTATGTCAGATCGAATATAATAAATATTTCATCATAATCGGGTCACCATCCTCATGATATCAGTTATGTAGCTCCTTACTACATACGTCGGAGGTTGCGACCCGTATATCTTCATGTCATATTTCAATTAATTTACAAACTTCCTTATTTTGCTAGCTAATCGAATTAAACAATGTCGTGTAATGTGTAAAACTCGAGGTACATCCATACATGTGCTACAAAAGATTATTCCTTTGGTTTATGAACAATTGGCCCTAAAACGTTTAATTGATACGTATTAACACCTGACCTGACCACTATATTATTATGTCAAGAACGGTAATTCCTAGTTTGCAAGTAAAGCTCTTTTCCAAAAAAAGCTACGCATCGGTTATCTTTAAAAAAATTCATTGATATCATTTTTACACTATCTTTGAAATCATATATACCCCTAGTCTACTATAAAAAACATTATTTTTTTACATGTCTTTACGTTCAATTTTACAACCATCAGAACCATTAGCCACTCCACTTACACAGCCATCATCATCGAACGATCTATATAACACGTCTCATAACAAATCATTGCCAATGTATACCGATTTTTTGTCAAGTCTCTCGAGAGATCTCGCTTTACTACTTAATGATACTGAAGGCTATGATACTCTCATAAACATTGGTGAAAAACATGATTTTAAAACCTTTCGTTCGCATTCGATAATACTACGTGTTAGATCCCCTTATTTTAGAACCGCTTTGTCAAGCGAATGGGCCAAGATTGAGAATAACCTAATCACTTTTAATAAACCTAATATTAGACCAACTGTCTTTGAAGTTATACTCAAGTATGTTTTTTCAGTCTTACCCTCTTCGTCCTTATTCTTCGTCCTTATTCTTCGTCCTTATTCTTCGTCCTTATTCTTCGTCCTTATTCTTCGTCCTTATTCGTCGTCGTCTTTATTTATTAAAATTTTTTATCCTTCGTTTCTCCATTTACCCATAGGTTCATCTATACGGGGAAAATTTCTCTTGATGATTATGATGCTTTAACAATCCTTGATCTCCTGGTTGCCGCTGACGAACTTTGTCTTCAAGAACTTATAGATCACGCTCAGGACTATTTATTATGTTATAAGCCAAGCTGGATGCAAAGAAATTTTGCCACCACCCATAAAATTGCTTTTCAACATTCTTGTGCTTTTACAAAATTAAAGGATTATTGTTCGGAAATTATCAGAAATGATCCTGAATTGGTGTTTCAGGCTGAAGATTTTACAAATTTAGATGAAGCCGCTTTGTTAAATTTATTAAAACGTGATGATATAATGATCAAAGAAATTACCATTTGGGAAAATTTAATTAAATGGGGAATTTACCAAACTTCTTCCATATTACAACGACAAACTGATGATCGTGAATGTGAAAATGGTGGCTTTGTGATGTGTGATAAGGATGAATCTTCCTTACATAATTGTTCAAATAATTCTTCTCCTTTATCTTCTTATATTTCTAATTTTTCTTCTTCTCCATCTTCTCTTTCTTTATCTTCGGCTTTGATTAATCTCTCTTCTTCATCCCCAATTAAAGATATTTCTTTATGGTCCTCTAAAGAATTTCTTATCCTTGCTTCAACCCTTGAAAAATTTATTCCTTTTATCAGATTTCTTCAAATTTCTAGTAGTGATTTTTATAAAAAAGTTAAACCATTTGCCTCCATACTTCCTTGTGATTTATATGATGATATCTTACAATATCATCTAGTACCTGATTATGTTCCTCACGATGATTTGTCTCAACCTGAAAGGGCTGCTATCGATAGTGTTATAATAGAAAGAAAACATGCTGCCTTAATTGCTAGTTGGATTGATGGTCGTGATCTCAACAATGATTCCAATGATTCCAATGATTCCAATGATTCCAATGTTTCCAATGTTTCCAATGTTTCCAATGTTTCTAATAATGTTAATTGCCTGGATAATTCAATATATGAACCTTGGGATAATCCTTATGAATTTAAATTACTTCTTAGAGGAAGTAGAGATGGTTTTTCGGGTTCTGAATTCCATGAAAAATGTGATTCTCGGGATGCTACTGTTATTGTAATGAAAGTTCATGGTACCGGTGAGATTATAGGTGGTTACACCCCCATCCAATGGTTATCCCAAAATACTTGGGGTTATACTGAAAGCAGTTTTATTTTTTGTTTGGCTTCTCAGTCTGGTAGCGTTGGTAATAATATATCACAATCCTGTCCTTCCATTACGAATATGTCTCAAAATTCTCAAGTTTCAAGTAATTCGTCTCAGAATTCGAGCCCTATAGGTTTTCGAAATATAATAAGTAGAGTTCGAGATCCAGCCCGTGCAATTAATTATTACAAGAATTATGGTCCTTCATTCGGTAGAGATGATTTAAAAATGGCTGGAAATTTTAAATTGGATTCAAGATGTTGTTGTAAACAAGGCGATTATGAATTTCCTATTCGTGAAAACACTGGTTACTTTTCTGTTGATGAATACGAAGTTTTTTCTGTACACCTTCGCCGGCCGTTGGGTAAAGATGTTAAAAATGAAAATAGGTCAATGGGTGATCCAACCATTGATGGCGAGAACAAGATTTTGGGGAATAATAATGGAATTGAATATTATGGTGGACGGAGCGGAAATATGACTAGGTCCTTGACTTACTAAAGAGTAGTGCTAATCTTATATATATAATATTTATATATATATATTGACCTTTTTTTTTTTTTTTTTTTTTGTTTTATTTTGACGAATATTAGAATGATAGAAAGTAGAACACTCAAATTCATTGCATATTTCACAATTAAAAAACTAGCTTACAACGTTAGTTATTTTTTGAAAAAAATTGCTTGCGTTGAAGACAATAGAATGTCGCAATATATAGACTTATTGTAAAACTTTTAAAACAACGCTTTCGAAAAGATCATTACACAAATTACTAAATAGACTTAATTCTTTAAAACACTTAATTTTAATCTATATACTAAACTATATTAATATAATTTTTATAATGTATTTAAATTTGGAAACATCGTTATAGCATTATAATATCGCCCCACATCTTTATAATTTCTTTATAATCTCTTTATATGCATTACCGTATAAACTTTAATTAAGGTTTTAATACTTTATATGCAATAGCAAAGATTTATGATTAAAATTTTTTTAAAATTGTATATTGATTTATACAGTATTCAATAAAATTAAATAATTATGTATTATTTTTTAAAAAAATTGTGTAGATTTTGATTTATACAGTATTCAAAAAAATAAATAATTAGCGTTAGGGCTTTATAATTTACGTTTATCGCTATAGCGATTTATCGTTAACCCCCGGGTTTATAATTTACGTTTATCGCTATAGCGATTTATCGTTAACCCCCGGGTTTATGTCAAATCAAAATCCCGAAACTTAATTGTCGCATAATGTGATATCCGGGGTTTCAATATTCAAACTGCGCTTATGATTAGTAATCTTAGGTAATCTATAGTAATCTATAGGTAATTTATATTACTAATCATAAGCGGGGTTTGAATATTGAAACCCCTACATAACTCTACTTCTTAGGGGGTAGCAATATATCGCTATGGTGATAAAACAAAATTCCAAAAAAAATTTTTTTTTTGCTTATTATTTTCTGTTTTGATTTAAGTCTATCTTATATATTTACTGTGGTTTACATTCGATGTTAGGGCTAACCATTAAACCACTTTGATGTCCAGGGTTTCTTAATATCTTAGTTTTCTGTAATGCCAAGTAGTAGCTAATATCTTATATTATTACTACTCTAATATATTGTTATATCTAGAGCTGCGGTTTATTGGTCAGACCAGAATAGTCTTTTTTTTTTATTATGATTACTTGTAACACTGACAAGTAATCATAATAAAAAGAATTTCAGATAACGTAAACATATAAATACCCAAAACGTCCTGATAACGAAAATAAAAATTTAATTAGTTTTTAATAGGAAATTTATTTCTGTAAAGAATTTAACAATTAAATACATAAATCATAAATTTTAAAAATACAACAAAACTGCATTTTTTTGTAAAAACTCATGGATTTAGAAAAAAAAACCAAATTTCCAAGCTTCTACAAACTTACCAAAATTTTCCTCGATGAAAAAAATGCATTGAATATCTTTTTGAAAAGGAAATTCTAAAAAAACCGACAAAATGTTTATATTGTGGATATAGAATTTTTTATTTTATTTCAACCAAAAAAATTTTTAGTTGTGGAAATTGCACAAAAAAAACAAATTCTGTTTATAAAAACACTATTTTTTATAATAATCATATAAAATGTAATCAAATTTTATTCATTGGATATCTTTGGCTTATTAAAGGAAGGTATACTACAATTCAATTGTTTACAGGACATGATAAAAATACTACTAGAAGATTTATGTATTTATTTAGAAATATTGTAACTGCCAGTTTAGTAAAAGATGATGAAAAAATTGGAGGAGAAGGCACAATTGTAGAAATTGACGAATCTAAATTTCGTTCTGGGGAAAAGTGGTGGATATTAGGTATTGTAGAAAGAACGAAACTGAGAAAATGTTTTTTTAAAATGGTTAAAGATCGAAATGCTCATACACTGAAAAGATTAATCAAAACACATGTAAAACCTGGATCAACTATATATACAGATTCATGGAAAGGATATAGTGAATTAGAAAATATGGGAATGAGATTTAAACACAGAAGAGTTAATCATAAAAAACCAAGTAAAAATCAAATTATAAAACGAATTCATACTCAGCACATAGAAGGAGTCTGGTCGGGTATAAAACAAAATATGTTAAAAAGAAATATGGTAAAAGAAAAAATTGAAAACCATTTGAAAGAATTTTCATGGCGAAGAAAACATGAAAATAATCTTTGGAATGGTCTAATTGAATCAATTAAAAATTATAAAATCCCATAATTTTTTTTATTTAAAGAATATTAAATATTGTATTTTCTTTTTTTATAATTTTACTTTATTAACAATGTCAAATTGGTCAGATAAATTTGAAAATTTTAAATTTATTAAAATTATGATTAAAAAAAGATTCATTTTGTTAATGAATTGCTATAATAGGATAATAAAAAACTATAAAGAAATAGATTTTTTACTTTACTTCATATAAATAAAAATACTTAAAATAACAAGAAAATAAAAATAGATGCTGCTTTAGTTTTATCTCAATACGTGTTTATAGAAATGAACCGGTAAATGATTTTTAATAATATTTTCTTAATTAATCATTACTGATAATATTAATCAACTTATTAGTGAACTAATTAATGAATATCTTGACGACTGGTACGAAAGAAAAAAAGAAGAAGGAGTTTGTCCACATTATGATCATAAAAAAGAAGTAGTTAAGCTTAATAA